CTGGGAGCAGGGCTCAACAGGGAATCAGGAGGGGTGCGGCCTTTGAGCCTTTGGCTGCTGCTTCTTCCTCCTGCTCGGGGCGCTCGGGCATCTCAGCGCAATAAACATGAGGAGCCATCACCTCCTCGGACACTGCTCAGCCACTTGCAGCTTCAGGATGACACCGCGTGCAGCCGTCTGCCAGCGCCTGGCCGTGGCGTTGGGCTCAGCCCAGCGCGCGGTCCTCCCCTCCACCCTCTCCCGGGCCGCAGGGATCTGACCGTGGATTTTATCCAAACTTTGCTTCATCCCGAGTCACACCTGTCCTGACCTGCCGGGCAGTTTGAAATCAGGTCCCAGTTATGGGTGTGGAGGGGTCAGGGGGTTGAAGGCCGCCCTTGGGCAAGTTAGCTGCCTGCGAGGCAGGCGGGTGCCCAGAGGGAAGGTGTCGTCTCTGACGCCAAAGGACGGACTCTCTCTGCTCAGAAGCGAGGCTCAGAGAGACGAGGTCAGCGCTCTCTGCTCTGGTCGGTACATTATAATTTCGCCATCTGCACAGTGAGGTTTGTGTCTGTTTCCAGCAAGATAAGCCCGCTGAGGGTGAGAAGTAGGTGGTGGTTTAGGCTGTGATAGCCGTTTCCTGGTGGTCTGACTAGGACATGAGCGGAGACCTTCTCATTTTCTTTCTGTAAAGGCCCCAGTGGGTGGTGAGAGCCGCCCAGGCCACAGTCCGCGGAGTGGCTGCTCCTGCTGTGGGGTCGGCAGCCGATTCCCACGCGGAGGAAGCTTCACTTTGCCACCTGTCACCACACCGAGCCCTCCAGCCCCCCACCCCCACCCCAGGGTCCCTCCCTGGTGTGAGTTTACATAAGTAAAGACCTGGAGGTAGAAACCACACAGTAAAATATAATAGAAATCACTGTTAATTCGGTAGAAAGTTATTGCTTAGGTAACTAAACGGTAAAAATATTACTCAAAAGCAGTGATTTCCAACCGGTGTGCCAAGGGAATTTTAAAACTATTTAGTCCGGGCACCGACCTCTTTTCCCTTAGATGTCAAATAAAAAATGCCAACAGCCAGCACAATAGCCATCTGTGGGAATGAATAAAAAATATACCTGTTTTTTGGTCAGATTGGCAAAAAATACATGTTTTGGTGCAACAGGATTTTAGTCATTAGTGTTCTGTGCGCCATGCGATGGGTCCAAAAGCAAGAACCAGCTGCCCCCGAGGGTGGGCAGAGCAGGGCGGGGCTGGGATTATTAAGTGCCATTTAGAGGAGGGCGTGCGGCACTGAAGCAGGAGCTCTGAGGCACGCCAGCCACCCCCCGCGGCTCCCTTCACCCTCCTGGTTTCAGGCGGTGCAGCGCCAGGCAGAGCCACGGGGCTGGCAGAGCCCCAGCCACAGCAGGACGAAGGGGAGGAGCGGGGCTTGGACCCGGCTCAGCAACCTCATCACTAGCACATTTCCCTCCACGCTGGCTTCAGCCGGACGGTCCTTCAGCGTGTCCTGGCTCTGGAGGAACCCAAGAGTCCCTGGAATCGTTTCGTTTCTGTGGATGCAGGGAGGAGAGAACAAAAGGTGGTCTCCCCTTTCTCTGTCGCTCTCTCCTAGCCGCCCTCCCCACAAACAGCCCGGGGAGGAGAACGAGCAGGGCTCTCCTCACAGGCTGTTCCTGCATCCTCCCCTGGACCGTCCTGTAACCATCACAGCCCCAAACTCCTCTCATTTTATCTGACGTCATTTTTCAGTTTCAACACAGGCTAGATATATAGAGTATTTATTGTAGATGAACAAGTGGAACGAAAAGTTAACCAGAAGAGGACGATCTTCCAGGAAAAGGCGGGGGCCTGCAAGCGGGCCACGTCAGAACAAAGTCTTGCACGCAAGACTTATTGTTCAGAGGCAGAACTTTCCTTGAGGTGATAAATAGTCCATGAGGGCATGGAAAGTTTAAGGGAGGGTGCACAGGTGGAAAGGGTCTTTGTATAACATAGGAAATTAATAGTGTAATGTATAACTAACTTAGCTTAGATGATCTCATAGGCATGCCTGTTAATCATTGTCACTTGCTGTACTCCATTGTTATTTGCTGTACTCCCCAAATAAAAGCCATGAGAGCTTTGGGGGCTTTGCTACACGCCTGAGCGAGCGGTAGCCCTCTGCTCTACTTCATCCTACACGCCAAGCTTGCCTCAGTGTCTCTGTTCACAAACAACATCAACAAATGGCGCCTGAACAGATCAGGGACCCGAAGTAAGAAATTGGGATCAGTAGGAGCGAAAGGGATTTGCCAGCGCAGAGTACACAGAACTTTCGGCAATAGTCAGAGTCATGGGGAATAGCCCGTCGATGCAGAGTCAATATATAGCTGTCTTGAAATCATTGTTAAAGAGCTCAGGGGTAAAAAGTGAAAGGATGAGGTTTTTAAAAAATTGTTTAAGGCAATTCAGCAGCACTGTTGTTGGTTTCACCCAGAGGAAAACAGCAGTTAAATCTTAAGTTGTGGAAACAAGTTGGAAGGTCATTAAGGAGGGCTCATCAACAGGGAAATGCAATAGAGGCTGATGTGTGGGCTATTTTTAATTTAGTAACGTTAGCTTTACAGCCTTTTCAGTCTGATTCTGAAGATTATGAAGAAATTCCTTTGAAGTCCCAAAGTGCTGCTCCAGGAGCTGGGTGTTTAAGCCCTGAGCCTCTCTCTCCTGAGAAATTGTTACCACCCGAGCCGCTCCCGTTAGAGGTCACTGAACCGAGGGAGTCAAGAAAAGGACAGAAAACTAGCGGGCAAAATGAATTAGGAGGTTATGAAAGCATAACCTCAGCCAGCCATTCAGAGCTGGAGGATTCATCTTCTGCTGGTTCGGAAGAGGATCGTTACCCCTCCCCCACCCCCACCAAGTTAAGGAAAAGAAGAGTGAAGAGAAGGGAAACAGAGATGAAGGAGCTTTTAGGGAGTCTAAAAGAATTATTGCTTACAGTAGTAAGAAAAAGAAAGAAAATGAAAGTCCTCAGGAGTTGGCTGCACCGCCGCCGAAAAGTGAAAGTAAAACGGCACTAGCCATTAATCCGGCGTTAGCAGCTGAGCCTCCACCACCCACCTGAGGACACAAAGAGCTGCTAATGCTCAATACCCTCAAGGGTTATATATATTATTAATTATAATATTATTATATATAATTATATATTATTAATTTTTATATATTAATTAATACAGAATTAATTTATACAGATTATAAATTAATTCCTTATTATTAAAATACAATAGCTAAGGCAGTATTAGCCCCAGGGCAATATCTGCAATTTAAGTCCTGGTGGTAGGAAGAAGCCAGGAGAGTGGTGATGATTAACGCCCAACAAAATCCACCTGGATGTAATTTTGACCAGTAAACAGGAACTGGGACACAGATTAGCATACAGCAACAGGTGCTGTTAGAGGATGCTGTTATGGCACAGATTAGAGCTTGTTACTTAAAGGCTTAGTCAAAAATGGAGGAGGCCGGCACCCCGGCCCAATCATTTTCTAAAGTTATACAAATAATATTAATATAATCATCATCATCATCATCATCATCTTATTAAAATCTTATATAAATAATTAATAATAATGCTAATTTTCTTGCTGATACATTAAAAACTACAATTCCCATCCTGTTAAATGCTATGGATGTGGGAAAGTGGGACATATGAAAAAGAATTGTCTGAAGACAAGGGTCCCACAAGGGAAAGCTAAACATGCTCCCGGAGTTATTAATGCAAATTATAAAGGAGAAATATTAGTTATAATGTCTGCTTCTAGTATTATAAATATAAAGGCTGGAGAAAAAAATGGCACAGTTATTATTACTTCCCTATAAACAAATAGGACATACAGCACCAGTTAAGCGAACTGGGGGATTTGTTAGCATAGGAAAAAAGGTTTTTTAGCATACAATTTTAGGAGGCCAAAGACCTCCATTTTTACAGTTTGTTCCCGGAGGGAATAAAAATTATCAGCCTGGTAGATTCTAGGGCTAATGTAACTATAATTTTTACTTTGCACTAGCCTCAATCTTGACCGGTGCACAAGGTGAATGCAACTTTTACAGGTTGTAAACCTCACTGAAATTTTACAAAGCTCTAATGTACTTGAGTGTCAGGGGCCTGAAGGACAAAAAGGCAAAATACAGCCATATGTTGCCTCCATTGCACTATCTTTGTGGGGAAGGGATCTTTTACAACAATGGGGAGCTACAATTACTATACCTTCTTTACAGAAAGGTCATAGACAAATGATTTGTCAAGCTGGTGCTGACACCAGTGTTCAGGATCAAAATTTATAAAGGGGGCCATTCCAAAGCGCTTCGTCCTACCATTAAAATAAAAAACAACTAAAACCGGTTTGGGTAGAGCAGTAGCCCCTAACAAAAGAGAAGTTGGAAGCGCTCCAAATTATTATTAAAGAACAGGTACAACTAGGGCATATTGAAGCCAGCTCTAGTCCGTGGAATTCCCCTGTCTTTGTTATAAAGAAAAAAGTCAGGTAAATAGCGGATGCTTACTAATTTAAGACGGATTAATGAAATTATTGAGCCTATAGAACCTTTACAACCTGGAATTCCAAACCCAGCATTAAAGCCTTTGCTGTAATAGGCAAACCCCGAGCCATTAAAACTGACAATGGCTCAGCATATTTATCAGGTAAGTGTCAACATTTTTTTCAACAGTTTGATATTAAACATATTACAAGAATTCCTGGAAACAGTACAGGTCAAGCAATTATTGAACGGCAGAACCGAACCCTTAAGGAAATGCTGCAAAAACAAAAAGGGGGAGAGGAGCTGGTATCAAGGCCAGACTCCCCGACGAAGATTATTAAGAACTCTATTTACTTTAAATTTTTTAAATTTGAATACAGATGCAGTGTCAGCTGCTGAAACACATTGGGGACATAAAAAGGAGGTCTCGGTAGAACAACCTGTCATATACCAAGATGTCACTACTAATCAATGGTGCCCGACTACCGTTTTAAGGTGAGGTCGAGGTTATGCTTATGTTTCCACAGGAACTAAGAAGTTCTGGATTCCTGATAAAAGAATCAAGTTAAGGCATGGCGAGCAAGAGGAAGCGTGATGAGGCGGGACTGGAAGACCGGTTTGCGCAGCTAATCTTCAAGGGAGGACAAACAATTCGCACGCCGTTGCCTCGCACCCGAAACACTCCTCCACCTACATGGGGACAGGTGAAGCGCCTATGCCTGTGAATGCCCATGGAAGGCCCTGTAACTAATGACTCTAATTGGATAGCTGGACTTTTTGAAGATCGTGGGCCTTTGAAACCAGATGCCGGAATGCCTGTGTATTTGGGACTGGGTAATCATTGTTTGCAATTGGGTTTTAAAGCCTGGTTAAATGTAGCTAAAAACACCACTAATTCTTGAAAGGACTAGTTCAATGGACTCAAACTACTAGGGAAATATCTTGTTTTAATTGTACCTTGTTAACTTGTGTACCTTATAATGAAATAGCTTTGCTATTTTCTCTGTCATAATTCAAACCTGCAGCAAAACTAAAAAGGGGGAAAATGTAGATGAACAATTGGAACGAAAAGTAACCAGAGGAGGACGCTCTGCCAGGGAAAGGTGGGGGCCTGCAAGCGGGCCACGTCAGAACAAAGTCTTGCACGCAAGACTTATTGTTCAAAGGCAAAACTTTTCTTGAGGTGATAAATAGTCCATGAGGGCATGGAAAGTTTAAGGGAGGGTGCACTGCTGCAGGTGGAAAGGGTCTTTGTATAACATAGGAAATTAATAGTGTAATGTATAACTTAGCTTAGATGATCTCATAGGCATGCCTGTTAATCATTGTCACTTGCTGTACTCCATTGTTATTTGCTGTACTCCCCAAATAAAGGCCATGAGAGCTTTGGGGGCTTTGCTACACGCCTGAGCTAGCGGTAGCCCTCTGCTCTACTTCATCCTACACGCCAAGCTTGCCTCAGTGTCTCCACTCACAAAAAACATCAACAATTTATACAATGGAATACTTCTTGGCCATAAAAAGGGAGGAAATCTTACCTTTTGAGGCACCTGGAGAGTATTATGCTAAGTGAAATAAGCCAATCAGGGAAAGACAAATACCATATGATTTCACTTACATGTATAATCGAATGAACAAAATATATACAGACTCATAGATACAAAACAGACTGACAGCTGTCAGACGGGAGGGGTATTGTGTGGGGGTTGGATGAAAAAGGTGAAAGGGATTCACCAAAAAGAAAAAGACACATCAACACAGAGTACGGCGATTACAAGAGGGAAAGGGGTGGGGGAGGTAGGAGAGGGTGGGAGGGAAGGAGACTTGACTTTGGACCCATGCACAGATGATGTGTTATAGAAATGTAGATATGAAACTAAATAAATTCAGTACAATTTTTCTAAAAAGCGTGTAATAGTGAATAAGTGAATTAACTGAAGAACATTTCCATTGAAGACACTTGTAAAGGGTTGACTGAGATGATACCATTCAGAGTGTCCAACAGACAATGTAAGCCTTTCCAATGTTGGGGACACAGTCCCGACAGTGTGTGTGGTTCAGGGTTCAGGATCTGGAAGAGGGGCCACACATAAATGAAAAAGATGAGACAAGAAATAATAATTTGGAAATATTAGGGGCCAGGCAGGCAAGCCCAATGCAAGAGAAAGGACTTCCACTGGTGCCCAGGCTTCATCAGTCTTTTATTCAATGTTGGATACACATCTAGCTCTTAGTCAGGCAGGTAATTGCGGTAACAGACAGACTATCTTAAAGGTCAATAAATATTAGAAGGATTTACTCTGAGACTATTTGATCAGGAAATAGCTTGAGCCCCCATTGTCTGGACTAGACAATTGGTGCATAACTCAGGCCCTTGCCATGGGTTCAAGGTTCACCATCGTTCCAGGATCCTTGTTTGCACTTCTCTGATAGTGAAGACAATGGGTGGCTTCCTGCAAACCACTTGTGGGTTTCCCGAATTATAATGGTCCTTGCAGTGTTTTGAAGGAACATTAAATATACCTTGTGATCCATATTCTTCCATCCTGTCTTTCTCACAAGTCTCAGATTTTCTATAAAGATTTTTATTATTATGAATAGATTGTATTTTCATACTCTTCTAGTTTTTATTTTTCCTGTTTCTCTTTTCCTTCTCCTAATCCCCTTGAACTCAAATCTGATCCTTGTCTAAGTGTTCTAACAGAACCCTCACTGCTCCTGATGTCTCTTTCCTGTAGTAAATAATTATTCCTGAAGAGAGGAAGCTGTGATTGTGGAGAGGCCTCTGGGAGAGCAGTCAGCTCTTGGCTTTGCTGAAGTGCTTGTAACACTACTCAAAAGTCAGAACCTCTGGGCCTCACTTTTCTCTTCCCTAATATAAAGAAATTAGACTATGTAATTCCTAAGATGCTTGAATTTCTAACATTATATAATTCTAAAAATTTGAGAGAGTTCTTCAGGATGGAGGACTGCTTACATGTAGGAAAAATGCTCTTCATATAGGCAAATCCCATAAAGAAAATGACTATTGTTTAAGTAACAAGACTTTCAAAATGCATAATTTTTGTGACTCTTAATACCTACTTACCCCTGGTTCTAAGATTATAGTACACATTTTGTACAGGGCAGAGATTTAAATTAGGTATGGTGGTGATATGCTGACCATTTGACTGTGAAAGGAGATCAAATGAACAATCTGAGTTGCTAGTTATTGTAGGTTTACTAACTATAGAATACACTTCTGAAATTACAGGGCCTTTATAAGAGAATATAGAGTTACTAGAGGCCTGGTGCATGAATTCGTGCACTGGTGGGGTCCATTGGCCTGGCCTGCACCCTCTTACAATCCAGGACCCCTTGGGGGATGTCAGAGAGCCAGTTTCAGCCCAATACCCGCAGGCCAGGCCGAGGGATGCCACTGGTGCATGGGCACCGGGCCTCTAGTATGCATATAAGATCTTTGGTAAATCTCTTTCCGCCCTCCCCGCCTCCTCCCTTCCCTCTGAGATTCATCAGTCTGTTCCATGTATCCATGCCTGTGGTTTCTGCTCCTGCATTGAGCACCTGCCCCCTGGTGCTCAGTGTGCATCATAACTTCCAGCTTGTTGTCCAGTTGTAACGGTCACTTAAGCTTTTATATATATAGACTAGAGGCCCGGTGCATGAAATTCGTGCAGGGGAGGTCCCCCTCAGCCCAGCCTGCACCCTCTCCAATCTGGGACCCCCCCAGGGATGTACAACTACCAGTTTAGGCCCAATCCTGGGGCCTAAATCAGCAGTCGGACATCCCTCTCACAATCTGGGACTGCTGGCTCCTAACTGCTCACCTGCCTGCCTGCCTTGATTGCCCCTAACTGGCCCCCCTGCCAGCATGATCACCCCTAACTGCCTCTGCCTGCCAACCTGATTGCCCCTAACTGCCCCTCCTGCCAGCCTGATCACCCCCAACTGCTCCCCTGCTAGCCTGGTCACCCCCAGTTGCCCCCCTCTGCCAGCCTGGTTGCCCCTAACTGCCCCCCTGCCAGCCTAGTTGCCCCCAACTGCCCCCCTGCTGGCCTGGTCTCCCCTCACTGGCCCCCCAGCCAGCCTGGTCACCCCCAACTGCTTCCTTCTGCTGGCTTGGTCACCCCTCACTGCCCCCCTGCTGGCCTGGTCGCCCCACACAGCCTGCTGTTTGGTTGTTTGGTCGTCCCTCACTAACGCCCCCCCACCACCAGCCTGGTTGCCCCACGTAGCCTGCTGTTCAGTCGTTTGGTCGTCCCTCACTAACCCCCCTGCCAGCCTTGTCGCCCCACCCAGCCTGTTCAGTCGTTCATTCAGTTGTTTTGGATGTGATGGCTCGTGGCTCTTTATATGGATAGATAGTGAAGGTTTCCTTGGATAAAAGAGCATGAAATATGTCCACATCAGCTTAGGGCTGAAGTAATGGACAGAACATTGAAGTGATCGGGCGGAGAACCGTGTTTATTGGCACAATCAGGCAGCGACTTCTGTCACTCTATTGCTCTCCTGACTGGATTCCATTCTGGGGCCCAGAGACCGCCTCCTTCGTGCTGGCGGGAAGGCTCCCTTCCAGGTGGGAAAGAGCCCTTCCAGTCACGCTGACTCCCCTGCAGGACCTGCTCTTCTGTGAGGAGTGGGCAGCCACAAACTGAGTGTGCTTTCCCAGGAGAAATGCACGTGTCTGATAAACATCAGTGACTCACTCACTTACTCTTTCATTCCTCCTTCCAGACAACAGGTATTTAGTGAGCGTCTCCCAGAGACAGACACCATGGTAGAGCTTGTAAGTCAGCCCAAGCAAGCCTCATGGGACTTAATCTCCCCATTTTAGATTTATAATCTTCACTGGGTATTGCTCTCTCCATCTGCTGCCCAAGTTTCTGAAATAATAGATTTGGGCATATTTTTGTCATTGAAGGCTTTTTGTAAAGATTAGACATCATGAAAAATTAAATGAAAATAAAAAAGAGAAATTATGTGGTGCAAGTTTTAGAGGAAAAATACACAGGATTTTGCTGGTTCTGATGCAAATATTTCGTAAGGTCACCCTGAGACTTTCTATTTGAGCCTAGATCTTGCCTGAGTTCTGTGTCCTTTTGTGTGATTGTGATTATGGCTTCCTTCCCTCGACTCCACTTTCTTTGTGATGTTGTACTGTCTTTAAATTTATTTTCTATCATACTATGTAAGACAGGGGCCTGAATCATAGGGAAAGGCAAGAGAGGAAGCTCGCGTTCACTAGCAATGCCATCGCTTATAATTACTGACGACGACACTTATTGTCACGCACCAGGCTGTGCATCTCGATTGTCCCCTGAGGTGTGTGTCCTTTTGCCAGGACAACAACTTTATTGAGACCTGATCAACTTCTCTGCCACTTGCAAGGCTAACTCTGTGTGACTGTTCCTTTAACCTGCTGGTGTCTTCTTGGTTTAATACCATGCAAGTCACTCTGCATCACCCTCAAATTCTTCCCAGGATGTAAAGCTATTTGTAAAATGTAAGACATCTGTAGCTTCTTTCAGGTTGTGCTGGGCATTGTCTCTCCACAGTGGCCAATTCAGAGCCGTGGCTGCCACAGATGTTCAGCTTCTAATGGATAAAACTTGTTGCTAATCCTTTGCAAGACTGAAAAAATCTACATGATAAACTGCCATGGTGCCAGGTGGTAATATGTGAATTTTAAACATACCATAATGCACTCTGCTTTAACTCATTTTAAAATGTCACAGAGCTCAGAATCCAATCTCTATTTCAGAAGTAGCTCTTTTCACGATTAGCTATTGTGACCGTATTTCACAGTCTCTTGGGAGCCCTTGCAGACATAAGTTCTTTTCTGTGGGACTTTAAACAAGCGAAGGCCTTTCTGGGCCCTAAGACAGTGCTGCACAGTAGGAGGTTCTCCTCTGCTTGCAGTTGAGAAACCTCGGGGGGGGGGGGGGATTGCGGAGGAGCAGGCCAGATTGCTCTTGTCAGATAAGATTACACTTCTGGTAGATAAATGTGATCCTGAAACTGGGCCTCCGTCCTATACCCACTCAGCCTTAGGACTATTAAGAACAGTGCGTGGATCTCTGTATTCTGAGAATTTTCACACACACACACACACACACACACACACAAAAACACACACACAAAAGCAGTAAAAACAAAATGTCCTTCTATTTCATTATATTTATCAATTATTAAAAGTTTAATTCTTTTTTTTCTTGGAGTATTTAAACTAGATCCCAGCCATACTTTTTACCCATACTTCAGTGAAATCCTTAGATTTTTAATGTTAAATAAAAATTTGAGACAAAAATTTAAGTTTATTTTTGTTTTGCGTCTGAAATTAACACCCTAATTAGCTTTGTTCCATGTTGATACGTTTATTTTTCCTAGGTTCATTTTTGTCTTTCTTTGATTGACACCAAAACTCTATTTTGCTTGTCATAACCAGCAGTTA